TAATTATTACTGGCAAAGACTAATTAGAGAATCCATTGAATTGAGAGGAATAAAAATAACTTTAATCGCTCTGACAGCTACAGGCTTAGTGTGGCCTGGAAGCGTATTATTAAATAATACACATTACAATTCCTTATAGGGGAAACACATACTAATTAACGGATTACTAACATAGCATATAATCACTAACACACATTACAACTAATTACTAATCTACAACTCATTACTAATCATAACCATTGACTTATTAATAATCGATTATATAATTACAATACCCCCCCCCCCCTCCGCTTCAAATCACTGCACCTGAAATGAGTTAAATGATGACGTCACCCTGCTGCTCTATTTAAAACCGGGAGCAAGCGAGGGCTTTACTATTCTGGCGAATTGCCCGATGATGCTGGATGTAATTACTAGCGAAACGTCGTACTCAAACTGTAAATGTTGTGGATTCACTTTTCAACACACCGGTGAGCTAAAGTAGTGAATTATTTATCTTTTGTCAACGTGACACTTTTTTTGCTGATTGGCCGTGTCGGGTGGTGGAGGGTTACGACACATTTATAAATAACGCGATTTAACCCAAAAACCTTTATTATGAATAACATTGGTCGCGAAAGCCTACGTGTTAAACTGACACAATCACAAATTTCCCTTTTATATATGGATAGAGAAAATATGCCGCTTACAAATGTATACAAACAGACATACACACAGACACAGATTCATGTACACGGATGAACAGACACCTGAAGAAATACGTTCTACGGAGGAGCGCTCAGCAACAGATAATTCACTTCGTTCAGGGATCCACCCCTCCACATAAAACATACACATTTTTGACGCATCCCATCAGCTGCACGGCCTTCTGGGAGCCCGTTACTTGTTTAGCACGAGAAAAAATCTCTCCGACCGCTGTCGAGATTCAGCGTCTCGTCAGCAGATTCGGGCTTGGAACATCCGGCAGTTTTTCAACAATGAGGTCGCATCTTACAGATGTTCGTCGTCGACCATGGTCAAGCCACTGTTGGATGAAGGCCTCCATCCCTAAGCCGCCGCCTCAGCCACAGCGGCCACCTCTCATCGCGATGCTGTCAAGTAAATAATCCAACCGGGCACTTTGCACACCAACTGAAATCATCGATCCATTTCCACACGGGACGCCATGATTATTTATTTATATTCTGCCTCGTCTTCATCTGAGAGTTGGATGTAGCTGTTTGCTCGTAAGAGAGACGGGTGGTAACTCTTTGCAAATCTGCATTCGAAATTACGACTTATACAGGTTATGACCATTATGAACATTATCACTCATCATCATCATAACCGTCATCATCTTCATCATTCCAACCACAATACATCATCACCACCATTGTCACGATCATCGTCATCACCACCATCGTTACCATCATCATCAGCACCACCATTTAATAAAGATCCCCCGTATAGCCTAAACAAACCGTAGAAGCAAATCCTGTTAGCAAGCAGCACCTCTGAAGGCCGATAACGCACACGGCAGGGTGTGTGGCCAACACCACCCCTGGCCGCCTTTGTCTCCCTCTAGCGACGTTTAAACACCGCATTCGGTACTCATTTGAGGCCGAGTCAACTTAGGAGAGGCCCAAGACCGGTACAGATAGTCGACACTGGTGTTGGCCGTGAGCGGGAATCGAATTGGGGTCGTCGGGTTCGTAGCACAGCACGCTAACCGCACCAACATCACCATCATAATCAGCACCATCATCATCACTACCACGATCATCACCACAACCATCACCATCATCACAATCATCACCACCATCATCATCATCACCACCGTCACCATCCCCACCATCATCACCATGACGATTATGGTCACCAATGTTACCGTCATTACCACCATCATCACAATCATCATCACTAGCATCATCAATATCACCACGACCATCATCACAATCATGATCACCAATGTCACCATAATCATCATCACCATCGTATACCATAATCATTACCGTCGTCGTCATCATCACCACCATCACCATCACGAAATACAAAAATCCTCCGTATAGTCTTAAACAGACTGTTGGGGCAAGGGCTGTTAGTGAGCACCTATGAAGACCGACAGTGTACACGAGAGTGTGGATGGCCAGCACCACGCCCGACCGCCTTTGTCTCCCAAAGGGCTAATGTTTACACACTGCACCAGGTATTCACATTAAGGCTGAGTCGATCTTGAAGAGGCGCTGAATCGGTTCAGATATTCGACACCGATGTTACTCGTGAGTGGAAATTGAACTCGTTGTGGTTCCTGAGTTACTAGCGCTAAGCGCTACACTACCGCCCCCCCCCCCCCCCCCCCGCCGTGGGATGCAAGCCACGCGCTCACGGAGAGTGCAAGCGAGACACGTGGTGCTGCCTTCTGTAAACCCTCGCTCCACAACCAACGAAAACAACTGTGAACTAATTTTTTTTATGTTATAAGGCAAGGCCCACTGAGCGACGCAATTATTTTTCAGAAGCGACCTGGTTATTACAAATGATAGCTCATGTGGGCATTTATAGTGGCAGACAAATGCTCTGAATGTGGAGGGAAAACCGGAGGACTCGGAGAGACACGCAAACTCAAAATATACAGCAGGTGTGAGGGTCGGGATCGAACCCACGACCTCCTGTAATCCAGGCGAGGTAGTTCATATCTCGCCACCGTGCCCACCTCCCCCCCTTCATCATCTTTTCGACGATTGTAATTTGTTCACATAGATTGTGGTGATCACCTATGTCAGACGAGGGGCAGGGGCGGAACCAGGGGGGTGACAGGGTAGACAATTGTCACCCCCGAAAAAAAAATCGAAAATCTGAAACATTCTGCGTATAAGTGTACGACACTCGGTCTGGTGGACTCCGTGCAACTGCATTGTCAGAGTGTGTCGCCAACCGATGGCGTCTAGTTCAACAGCCTGACTCTCTAATCTTTAATAATAGGGTTATTCCCCCTTTTTCTGGCAACAAAATTGAAACCTTTTTACAAGGATTCATGTCTGCATTAACCACAATACCTGCAGTCAAAATGCAAACAAAAAACATACTATGAGAATATATGCATTGTCCTTGAAACTGATTGGTCCACACCAAGGGACGGCTTTCTTTTGAGCCTCGACCCAATTGGTGCTCGACCACATGACGCCAGAAGGATCTCTAATCATTCGTGAAGTTAAAATTTGTTGAATGTCACCCCGGGCTGAAAATCCTGTCTCCGCCCCTGACGAGGGGGAACCCCAGTGCAGCTCTGCAGGTACCTCTGGCGGTTTTTTCACAATGAACACGAAGGGCCGCTAATGGGTTTTTTTTTTCGACCCGCGTATCCCTACCGTGTGTGAGAGCAGGGGGAGCGGTGGCGCAGCGGTGAGCGCACCGCGCCCCTAAAAGCAGCCACCTGAGTTTGATTCAATCGTGGTCCTAAACATCGGTGACAGATACATCTGAACCGGTGTTCGGGGACTCCGCTAGGTCGACACATCCTTAAAAAATGAGTCACCTAATGCAATGTGCGAAATATTGAACCGAGGGAGACAAAGGCGGCCGGGCGTTGTGCTGGCCACCCAACCGCGACTCGTTTGCCGTGCCGGCCTTCATAGGCATGGCTGCTCGCTAACCGCACTTGCCCCCTGCAGTCTGTGAAGGCTACACGGGGGATCTTTGTCGATTGAACATTTTGTGTCTCTGAGCCACTTCGCGTTGTGTGCGTCCCTGCTCCGTGCCGGGGGGGGGGGGAGGGGGGGTCGCCCCAGGGCGACTCCGCGAAACGCGAAACACGAAACAGAGGGGAGAGAGTGGAGTGGAGAGATTCCAGTTGCTGAGTGTAACCAGCATCATCAAGTGTTTCACGAGGGCTGCTGATGCTGGATGTAACAGCTGATAATGCTGGATGTAATCCCAGCGAAATGTCGGATCAAAAATACCTTCCCTCATTTAATTATTGTGTATTACATAGAACAGCGCACTCCGCTCACCATTGCGCCACCGCTTTTCCATTGCAATGCATTCTGATGATCCATAGTAGAGGTTTTTGGGTGAGATCGCGTAAATACCAATGTGTCGTTAAACCCGCCACCACCCAACACAGCAAATTGGTAAGGTTTGTCACGTAAACAAAACATGCCATATAATTGTCATGTTTTGCTTACGTAATTATTGGCATGTTTGTTTACATGTCAAACTAATTACTAATTGGCTGAGTCGGCTGGCGGCGGATTTTATCAACACATATTTAAGCGATCTCACCCAAATCCCTCTATTATGATTAATATTAGCCGCGAAAGCCTACTACTACCGAATATTAAACCATTCTGATGATGTATCTCTCATCATTATTGTCATCAGCAGCAGCGGCATCGTAGTCGCGCTGCTGCTGCGTGACTACGATAGCGAGGAGCGGTGGGATGAATGAGCTGCACCTGGCAGCTGGCGCCGCTACGGATTAGCGAAGCCCCAAGCGCTGGGAACACAGAGCCCAGTGATTCAGCAGGGAATCCAGACACGAGCCACACAGCATTCGAACATCATCTCTGCATCATCATCGTGATTGCCATCATCACGCAGTCCTGATTGTCACCATCACCCTAATCATCATCTGCACAATCAACAACGTCACCACTACCTACGCCATCAACTGCAATATAATTAATGGCACCACTACGCAACCCCCTTCAAACCATTACCACCACCAATGGCACATCACCACACCACTACTATGACCCATCATTGTCATTATCACCACCATCACCCCATCATCACCGCCACCATCACCTCATCATCATCTTCATCGCCACCACCATGACCCCATCATCACCACCACCATCACCTCATCATCTTCATCACCACCACCACCACCCCATCACCCCATAATCATCGCCACCACCACCGTCACCCCAACATCATCATCGCCACCACCACCATCACCCCATCATCATCACCACCACCACCACCATGACCCAATCACCACCTCCACGACCTCAACTCACCAAAGAGGGACATGAGGAAACCCTCTGTCACGCAGCCGCCGCGTCCCATCACGAGGCCACCCACAGCGTTGGTGATGGTGTTGGGCAGCCCCCCGGCCAGCGCCATCCCGAGGTCGGCCGCCGCGAGGCTGAGCAGCGCCGAGTTGAGGGGCTGCCTCAGCTCCTTGTACCTCACGCTGGCCACCACCACGAGGCCGTTGAGCAGCAGCGAGGCGAACGTCGTGACCCCCATGATCACCGACAGGGAGACAAAGACGGCCCGGGATGGGGTCGCGCTGGCCGGCTCCAATAACACACCCCCGCTCCTGTTGCCACCGCCGCTGCTGCTGATGATGATGCCGCTGTTGTTTGCGTCCATCCTGCCGCGTGTGCGTGCGAGCGCGCGTGTGGGACTGCGAGGATGATGTGTGGGACGATGCGTGGCGTTGGGCGCAATAGGGAGAAAGAAAGGGGAGTTCAGTTGGAGGTGGGGGGGAGGCGGTGTGAGTACTCCAGTTATCGCGTGTACACTCACTCACCGAAGCCCGTGCGTAAATAAACATTCACGCACGTTATCATTAGTCCAATGGTAACCATCCCATGTCTGTGATTGTCTCTGTAACTTGATTTAGTGATTGTGCTGTGATCAGTCTCAACAGAGGCTCTCTGCCCGAGCCAACTCGCGCTGCAACGGGAGTTTGCTGTTTAACACTGATTTGTGTTCGTGCTCATTTGAGGCTGAGTTGATCTAGGGGAGGCCCAGGATAGGTTCAGATATCGTCACTGATGGCGCCCGTGAGCGGGAATCAAACTCGGGTCGCCGGGTTGGTAGCAGAGTGTGCTAACCACTTCGCCACCACTCCCTTCCCCCGCATCACACACCACACAACGCTATAAGTACACAAAGACAGAGTGGTACACGTGTACACTCTACACACACGTGTACCACTTTATGCTATTCACAGTGAACGCGAATGCCACGCGCCTCCTGGTGACGAGAGCCACCTGGAACCCGCGTGACAGATGACCGCGAGGTGTGACCTCACATGTGTTCAAGTAGGGGCCAGTGACCGAAACGTCGCCTACGAGTGTCACGTACGAGCCGAGTTAATAATAATGAAAATAACGATACGTTCACATACCTGTCAACCCCTTATCCATGCCTACCTCATTACAGACCAATTCAGACCGTATTGATCACCCCGTGCCCCTTACAAATCTGAACGTTCATCCTGCAAAGTCCCACTACAAGGGAGAAACTCAAACAAACACAAAGGTTTGTATGCCCGTATTGAAACGGCTGTACGCCGTATGGGTCTGAAAACTCAATTTCCATGTACAAGAATACGGGTAAACCGTATGGGTTGACAGCTGTGTTTTCATTTCATGGAGTGTCATCTGTGCTAATTGCATCCCCATGAACGCTGCACATGAATTCCATCGGTGATATGCGCGCGTGCGACGTTCACTTACCGGATCTTCTGGTGTTCCCAGGGGGTGGAGTTGGTGCGACGAGTGATTTAGGTCAACTTATTTACGAATGTCTCTTTCCGAATAGATAAATACATACATATAGCTTGTTCTCTTGTTTTGCCCCCTCTCCCGGGAAATATCTGCCCCTCCTTCCCCTTTATTTAATCTCCGTGTTATCAACGAGAGACAGCGACCGAAACTGCAGCAAGCAGCAGACGCAACGGCTTCCTGACCATCTACATCCGCGGGACAAACACTCGGCCTTTTAACTTCATGCGCTTTGGGTGGCGGGTGGGGGGTGACCGAACCCTCCCTAACCCCACCCCGCCTTTCTGAACGCGAGCACGGATATAATAATTAATTAAATGGATATCTACCGCGATGCGTCTCACTAATTCACGTCGAGTGCCGGGGGTGAAGGGTGATGGGATGGGCATTAACTTGCCAGACGTGTGCGTGTCAAGACAGGCGGACCCAAGGATTACGTTGGCTCACGCTGAGACCCCATAGACTTACACTGAGCCCCCATAGACTTATAATGAGACCCCATAGGCTTACACTGAGACCCCATAGACATACTGAAGCCCCACAGACTTATACTGAGACCCCATAGACCTACACTGAGACCCCACAGACTTCAACAGACACCCATAGAATGATAGACACCAATGGACTCGCATGCACCCGTTATGAGTAAACCAGCTTTTCGTGTCTTTAAGAGGCGTTGATCTCATCCATGGTCACCAGTCACTACATAAAAACAACCCACCACTTTAATCTGTTGTTTCTGCGCTGAACTTGTCTAAATTTCAGCTCATGAAAAGTAATTTACTCTGTGGCAGGGTGTGTGTGTGTGTGTAAAAAAAAATAGGTAGTTATATAGTATCCGCTTGTGCGGGCCATTCTCTATAATGAAAATTATTTCAATTTGCAATGCCCCCGGACAGTGCCCGCTCCCTCGCTCTGGAAGAACCACAGACGAACAGAAAGATGGACAAGCAATTGCCGGCGCCAACACTTTGCCCAAGCTCTATGGTCCTCTATGTACCACTACTCACGTCGGTGATACGTTCCTGAAATCTGCGACGAATATTGAAACTTAAATCTGAAGCGATTTTTTCTCTTAAGAATCAATGGAATGAGGGAGGGATGGGTTCATTACGTCGCCACTTCCCCTATTAATTTTATTTTGCTTTTATCCTATGATATAACCATATTTTTTGGTTCATTACAGTTACATTTAAATACACATGTAAATAAAATGAAAAGTTAGCATACATATTTAATTAGAAATAAACAACATATTTCAGAGTTTGAAAGTTTCAAACGGTACTGGGCTGGGTTCACTTGCTGGGTAGGAGGTAGCAAGGTGGAGGCACAAATACAAAGATCCCGTATAGTTAATAATAAAGGTTTTGGGTTAGATCTCGTAAGTATAAATGTGTCGAAACCCTCCACCACCCGGCACAGCCAATAATTAAGGGATTTGTCACGTTAACAAAACGCCAAATATTATTTTTTTCAGCCCACCGGTGTGTTTGAAGAGTAAATCCACAACATTTACAATTTGAGTACGACGTTTCACTGGTAATTATATCCAGCATCTTCGGGCAATTTGCCAGAATAGTGAAGCCATGCACCTACTTCCTGTCTTAAATAGTGTTCTGCCTCACGGCGGTTATGGGGATGTACGTACACAGGAATTTCCTGATATGGTGTTGAGTTTGGTCACGTAACCAGGAAGTGACGATTTAAGATTCTCTCAGCCACGTGGTAGGGTGTCAGCCATTACACAGAGTACAAAATGGTGGCACAAATAGCGTCTCAGTGAAGACAGGTGCATCTGTTCATTGTGGGACTTTAAGAAGCATTGTCTGTAAGTTCGTTTATGTTCTTATAATACTGGGAATGCTGTTATGTTAAGATTGCCGTTATAATGCTGTAAAAGCCTTTATAATACTGTTAAATTGTTATGATAAATATGAAGCCTAGTTAACAACGAAGCCTGCCACTTGCATTATTGTGAATGTTACTTGTAATTGAATTCATCGAGTCAGATTTGTACCAATGTAACTTTAATGGGATATTGAGAGCAAGAATGAAGAAGTATCTCATCCACAGTTCAGTGTTATGTGCAGCGCTGTACATTTAGGCTGCAGTATGGTGATTACACGAAGTGACCTTATTTAACACGGTAGCTTATTCTCTTGTATAGCTATTCAGTGCTAATGTATGTGCCTGGTCCATCCAGGACGTATTGTTGAATTTCATCTTATCTAAGACAATATTATGATGCTCCTTGTGCTCATTCATTGTATCGATATTGGAAGTATTAATAGATGCTGTATTTTGTTCTGTATTTTTCCATTAGTTTTACCTTGGTCAATTCATTAAATACGTCGGAGTCGGTTGTTCACCCTGGTTCTGAAAGTTTATTGAATGCGAGGTTAACTACTCGGATAGTGGTGCAACGCAGCGCACAGCGAGGCCGAGACAAATAGTGCAGGATGATGTCATCTTTGAACCCAATCAGGTGTAGAGATCAGAGGCAGAAGAGGAGGGGTATTGTCATTATATAGATTAGTAATCAGTTAATTAGTATGTGATTCCTCTATAAGGATTTGTAATAAGTATCATGTGTAGCGTCATAAAATATGTCGCTAGAGAGAATCAGTACCAGGTAAGCAATTTGTCCTTCTGTTGATAATTTAGGTAATTCATCTTTAGTACAAGTGCTAGTTTTTTATTTTGTTTACCGTACCAAATCTTACTTTAATGTTTTACTTTTGCAAAACACGGGCTAATTTGTCAGTTACTCCTGAGATATGGTATTTTAATTGTTTTAACAATCTGATCACTTTCAGAAGTATTTTTGTTCGATCTTGGTTTGGCATTCAATGCTCTGTTAATTTGAGCATTATTGTAGCCATTCAGTGATGATGCGAATCTGCATTCTGATAGGCGTCAGTGTGTGTTCCCTTTCGGTAAACACTGTTATTTGACAATTTAGGGCGAGTCCAAACAAAATATCTAGGAAGGAGTGTGTTGTTCACTTCCATTTGCATGGTGAACTGGATGGCCAGGTTTTGTGCATTGAGATTATTTAAAATTAATTAAGTGTATCTTTACCATGTGGCAAGACAACCAAAGTGTCATCAACATATCAAAACCAAAAATATGTTTTTAATGTACTTGAGGCAAGTGCTCTTTTTTCAAAGTTATCCATGTGCAGATTTTCTATAGCAGGACATAAAGGAGAGCCCATTGATTCTTCTTCCTTTTGTTTAAAGAACTCACCTCTTTATAAGAAGTAAGTGTTATTAGACAATGGTCAGCTAGTTTTGGAATATCTTCTGGTAAACCTGTCTTCTTTAATAGTGTATCAAGTTATTTAAGTGACTCGTTAACTGGAACCTTAGTGAATAGAGAAATTACATCAAAACTCACCAGAATATCACTAGGGTTAAGTTGAATATCTTTAATCACATTCACTAGATGTTCGGAATTTTTTTTATAAATTAAGTTGTCCTTCCAATGTAGGGCTGTATTTGTTTAGATACATATTTTGTTAATTTATATGTGGCAGAGCCTATTGTACTTACTATGGGTCGTAATGGAATACCGATTTTATTAATCTTTGGTAGCCCATACAATGTAGGTGGTTTTGAGGCCCGTGGCTTAATTTGGTATTGCTCAGTCTTGGGGATTAATGCATTTTGAATTATTGCAGTAGTCTTACGTTTTAAAGTATTAGTTGGATCTCGTTAAATTTTTATAGAGGTACTTTCATATTCTTTGGGTCTTTCAGTAAAGCAACGTAGATAGATCAAATAATAACAAATAATAATAAAAAATAATAACAATATCACGACGTTTCGATCGCAACACAAGCAATCGTCATCAGGTGAGAAATATCGCGGGAGAGCTGCTGAGAATATATGGTGGGAGCGCTGCTAAGGTAAGGAGTTATAAAGGTTTGGGATGGTGTAGGCCAAGGGTCAGTGGGAGGGGCTAGAGATGAAATTTGCATGTAAATGGAAGATCGGGTAAATCTTGACAAACGAAGCTGTGGGGGTGGCCATTGTATTGTGGGAGATTACCATGTCAATGTAAGAAATTTGCTTGTAAATGTAAGCTCGGAGGTACTTTCCTCTACTAAATCTTTAATTGTATTATCATAATGTGCTTACAGTAGTGCAACCTTTATCAGCTGCCAGAATTTGAATATCTTTATTTAATCGAAGTTCTCTTAAGGCTTTTGCTTCGTTAAAGATAATCTTTTTTTGGTACTTTGCTATTCCCCCTCCTCCACCTCTGATCTCTACACATTGGGTTCAATTATGACGTCATCGTGCACTATTTAAGACTGGAAGCAGGTGGATGGCTTCACTATTTTTTCAAATCGCCCGAAGATGCTGGATGTAATTACCAGCGAAACGTCGTACTCAAACTGTAAATGTTGTGGATTCACTCTTCAACACACCGGTGGGTTCAATCTACAGACACACAAGTGGGCTGAAGGAATAACTATTTGGCGTTTTGTTAACGTAACAAATCCCTTACAGATTGGCCGTGTTGGGTAGTGGAGGGTTTCGACACATTTATACTTACGGGATCGAACCTAATAACCTTTATTATGAATAATACTGGTCGCGAAAGAATAAGTGTTAAACTGACCCCCGTATAGCCTTAATAGACGGTAGGGGCAAGTGCTGTTACCGAGCACATATGAAGCCCGGCACAGCACACAAGAGAGTGGTTGTCCAGTACCACGCCCAACCGCCTTTGTCTCCCCAGTGGCGATGTTTATACATCGCACCAGGTACTCATTTGAGGCTGAGTCGACCTAGGGGAGGCCCAGGACTGACTCAGGTAATCGTCACTGGTGTTGGCCGTGAGCGAGAATCGAATCTGGGTCGCCAGGTTCGTAGCGCAGCAGAGCGCTAAACGCTACACCACCGCACCCCACACGAACACTCACAGGAGCGGGCGTGCGTCTCGCCTCACCGGCGGTGCCGAATGACATCTCATTCCACTTCTGTGGTGTGTAACACTTTCACGCTGCCTCTTAGCCACAGATACATCCTGGTCACTTAGAGAACGCTTCGGAGGCTTGATGCCACAGGATCACGTTCCCACAACGTTACATTAAATGACAAAAAAATACTTGTACAGCAGTAAACTTCAACACAAATTATACAGAGTACAATAAGATACAGTACAATGAGATCAATAGACATACACTGAGACCCCAAAGAGAGAAAAAAATCGCCAAATACTATACATAAATAATATATTGTACTCAACAGGACAATACCTTTATTTTTTCTGCGCCACGCAACGTCGTTTGTGGTACAGGGTAGTTTGGAGGCGAAGGCTGAGAGGTGACAAATCCCTGACTGATTGGCCGTGTCGGGTGGTGGAGGGTTTCGACGCATTTATACTTACGCGATCTAACCCAAAAACCTTTATTATGAATAGTACTGGTCGCGAAAGCCTACGTATTCAACTGACCCCCGTATAGCCTTAACAGACTGTAGGGGCAAGTGCTGTTACCGAGCACTTATGAAGCCTAGCACGGCACACGAGAGAGTGGTT